AAATGAAACCTACAAACCTACCCCTTTCCGATTACCGATTAGCGATTTACCTGGGCTCTAATTACTATTGTTTAGTTGCTACAATTGAATGCCTTGGTTTGGATTTTTTGCTTTTAACTCTTTATATTCAGGGTGACCAAATTAAACTTGATATTTTATACATTCGTTGGTAGAGTTTTTTCAATGTTCCATCCTTGATTGCATTTACAAGATTTCTGTTTTCTGATCGCTTGACTAAACCCTATTCTAAATGTTAGTGTGTGTTTAGTTATTGGGTTCAATTACCAATTTGCGGTTTGCCAATGGCAAATCGTGAGAAAGACATCGAAATTAATGCAGGTGTGAATGACCAATGTGGAGGATAGAATGTGAGGGATTTTTTACCATTTGCTTCAATTAATTGTTAACTAATTGCTATAAGCATTATTTTAAAGACCAAGTCAGGCATAAATTAAAAGGGAATTACTAAATATTTAGTTTCGAATTAGGTTTTAGGTTAATTTACTTAATCTAAGGGAAAAAATAAAGGAAAAATTATATATGCTATATGTTTGGAGAGAACTAGGTATGTAACCAACATTTTAATAAATATACTTAAGTATAAAGATCCAAAATATGGAATTTGTTAAATATATTTCAAAGTTGCAGTATAAACTCTAAAATATATTATAATAAATGTATTAAATTTGTTTATATACTTCTTGTATGTTTCTTCTTAATTTATAATTGTATAGTTGATCCCTTTATATTTAGCTCGTTAATACCTTTCTTCTTTAATTTATTTTAAATATGTTCAGTCTCCATATTTTTATATTTAAGTTGTTTAATTATTACTTCAATAATGTTATTAAAAATGGTTTAGTTTTAATCTTTATATATTTATCATGTTTATTTCTTTCTTCTTTAATTAATTTAAAATGATTTAGTTAGGATCCCTTTTACTATTTGCAATTTTAATTTAATTTAAAACCCTTCGTCTGACCTCTTTAAGGGCTTAAAGACTATTTGAAACCAGCTGAACCAGGTCAATCTATATTTTCTTGTCACCCTTTAAATCTTTAAACATTTCCCAATGCCAAACACTGCTTTCCACCCAAAATCCTTTTTCAAAGCCATACACACACACCCACAAAAAAGCAAGGTTGCAGCTTAAGTCAGACGATGTGGCAGACATAATTTGCATATAGAATGACCTTGAGTATAAACCAAGGACTCAACGGGTTGGCGGCATTATCCTTGGAACAGAGCACCACCACAACAGCCTTCGAGGTCCAATTGAAAGACCTTGAAATGCATTCGTCGCTAGAACCCCAGCATGTAGCATATGTAGCATATACATACATATATATATGTATATAATAGTATCTATATGCCATATGCATAGTCAATGTCATGCCCCAATTCGTCGCTGCTATTTTGCGCTGTCTTTTTTGCGCACTTTTTGAAAATGCAACAAGCTGCTAGCTGACTTTGACCCATTTAAATCCTTTGAGGTGAGCATAGACGCACGACGAGTGCGACGACGGCAACGGCGATGCAATCTATGTCAATGTCAGCCGGCATTGCGGGCGGTTGCGGCGGCGGCAAATAAAACCAACTGAGGCAGAACACTCGCAACAGCAGCAGCAGCAGCAGCAGCAACGGCAACAAAAGTAGCCGCCACAACAGATGCACAGAGAAAAATAATGCACAATTATGTACAAAAAACGATTTCATAAAATATTAAAGTATTTGGTTTTAATTTAAACAATTTCATTGAAGAAATTTTGACTTGAACACAAAAAAGAAACTAGTAAGAAAGCTATGCCAGGAGTATGCTCGACTGAGAAGTACCCAATATTGTGTGCATTAAATTTTAGAACTTACAGAAATAACTTATTTTTTCCATTACAAAGAAGTATTTAATTAAACAAACTTATTAAAATATAATGAATTCTATAAGAAAAGGGGAAAGGGGAAAAAGGGATACAAAATCCCTAAAAGATGAAAATATATATATGTACATATATTATTCGATATTTTTATATGAGCTTTTTTTCAACAAATCAAGTTTAAAAAACTCATAATTAAACCAAAAATTCATTGATTTTAATTCGAAAGCACTCCTATTTTATTTTTATTAGGGTAATAAATCTGCATACTCCATTTAAAATGTAAAAAAATTTAAATTTTTTTCAAATTTTATAAATTTAAGCCCTATAAAATTTGAAAAAATTGATCACATTTTTTCTTAAAAAAAACATAGAGAAATCGATTCAGCTTTTGATTCTGATCAAGAATATATATGACTTATATGGTCGGAAAAGACTCCTTCTCACAGTTATAAGTTCTGACTAAAATGATAATACCATTATTTGAGTCGATATTTGTCTATATTTTTATATGACAATTTTTTCAATAAAATCAAGTTTTAAAAAACTCATAACTAAGCCAAAAAAGCATTAATTTTAGATCGGAAAACAGTCCTATGTTAGTTTTTACTATGGGAATATATCTGCATACTCAGTTAAAAATGTAAAAAAATTAATTTTTTTTTTAATTTTGTCAAATTTTGATAAAACAAAATTTGAAAAAAAAAAAAAAAAAATGTTTTTTTCTAAGATGCCTAGATCGACTCAGCTTTTGATGCTGATCAAGAATATATATGATTTATAGGGTCGAAAATGACTCTTTCACATGTTTACAAGCTTCTGACTAAAACTATGATACCCTTGCAAGGGTAATTAATGGAAATAATTTAAGAGCATAAATAATCATCCTAATATTTCTCCGTGTAACTGGGGAGAGTGTACCATAGAGAGCGAAAGAGAGGGGGCAAAGCAACAAAGCAACAGCGACGCGACGTGCGCATGGCGGCGACTGCGACTGCGACTGAGACGCCGGGGCTGCGGCTTCGGCTGCGGCTGATGCACACAATGACCTTCAAATTTCTATGCAATTTCGCTTTTTGCATTTGTTTTTGTTTTCGTCTCGCATCCTTGGGCCCAATCTCCAATATTAGAAAACGCAAGCGAGCGAGCGCAACAGCGATTCGTTTGCGCTTGACCCAAATTCTAATGCCGCTGCCGGCGACCTTGCTCCATTTTGCCTCTCTCTCTATCTTTCTCCCTATCTCTTTTTCCCTTTCTAGGGACGAATCATTAAAGCAAGAGGGAAAAAGTAAGCTGCACTTTATGGGCTTTCTCTGCCCCAAGGTTCTGCAGTGTGGCCAAACGTATTTAGTACGCAATTAAAGGCGTTTTGACATTGTTGAATGTCAATAAAACGGATTTTCACCACAAATTCAGCACAATGCGTGCCGCCAAAATGGAAATAAAACAATTGCAACTAACTTGCTGACAGAAAAATAAAAAATAAAAACACACAAATTACGTGAATTTTGCAATGTTTGATCATACATCATCGACATTTAGTTGACAGGCCGCTGTCTTACATACATAGTCAGTTTGCTCATTTAATTGCTATTCACGCATGGACAAACTTATCGAGCGAATTTTTCCCTCAATTTACATTTTCTCATACTCGTTGGGGTACTTGTGTTATTTAAAAAATTAAAAAATTAAGCTAAATAAAATTATATTTTTAATAATATCATATACAAGTTTAAAATACCTTAAGAATCTATCGTATTAATAATTTAAGAGTTTAAGTCTTCATTTAAAAACCGAATCAATTCCAAATATTGAAGAAAGAACTTTCGGAACCAATTGAAAAAAGGAATAACCTAACCTTAAGCTCTAAAGTTTATAAACAATATATAAGGTATAATATATATACAATTACTTATAAGTTATTCAGATGTGTGACTATGCAAATATAATTGCCATAAATAATTTCGCCAAACAAAAGAGCATTTAAATTTCGTCTTATTGAAAAACCAAACAATAATAAAAAATAAAACACAACCTCCAAAAGTAGGTTAGTTGCATTTTTATAGACATTTCAAATGGATTTTTATGGCTGCATCCGACGCCGGCATGGAGCTAAGTTGTGCGAGGCTAACTGGGGAATAGGGGGGAACCAACCCAGAGGTACATATTTATACACTCTGTGCATATTTAAACTTAGCATTGCACTTGGCACACAAAGATTTAAGACAGACGACCCGCCGACCGACCGACAACAGAATGTCTGTCTGACAGACTGGATTTTTGCTGGTGGGGCGGGCACGCCAAAGTAATGACAAGTTTCGTGAATATATCAAGGTTTAAATCGATTTAAATTGAAAAAAAAGTGTATTAAATGTAATGGAAAAGTCTGTAGATTAAACTATAAACATGAAATACGTGAAAGAATGATTGCATTTTAATTGATTTGCAATTATTTCTAAGGTTTGTTCATACAAAATCCTATTTTTGTTCAAGGCCAAGAAGAGGTTTATAAACAAAAGGCTATTGCTATATCATATAATCATGAAAAATATGGCATAAATTATAAATATGACAAAAAAGCTATTATTTGTTCCACAATAATTAAATATAGTAATTGTATCTTTTGTTTATCCTTTTATAAGTTCTATCGAACGTTTCAAAATTAGTTTTTCAGTTGTTTTATGTTTTAGTTATGTTTTTTTTATAGCATCCGGAAAGTATTAGTTTTTGTTTGTATTTATATTTTTATTATTATTGGTAAGTATATTTTATCTATTATTGTTATATTTATTTAGTTTTTATTTATTTAAACACTAAACAGTCATATAAAATAATCGTTTATTATTATTATTTGTTTTATTAATTCGAGCATTTGGTGTATCATTTTCTATAGGTTTATTTATTTTTGTTATCAGTTTCTTATTTCGTTTGTTGTTCACTTCCGTTTTGTTCATGTTTCCTTGAAGTTTCGTTTATTTATTTATCATTTTATATCTTTATAAAGTATTTCCTTTCTCCTTTTGATTCAATGGCACTTTTCCAGCAACAACAAGAATATAGTCAAATACATTTTGCCAAGCTAATTAACGCGGGATTATAAGAATATATAGATAAGTATGTCTCACTTACCCCCATTATCATCGATTTCTAGACCGAATCATCCTCGGACATGGACTCATCATCGGTGCTGAGATTAGAGCCACTATTGTTGCCACTTTGCATGTGATGTTGCTGCTGCTGCTGCTGCTGCTGCTGCTGGAGTGTTGCTGCTGTGGTGTTGTACTGGCATTGCTGCTATTATTGCTATTATTGGGCGATGTGACTTTTGGGACACATGAACTGGCAGCCAATTCCTCAATACTGTGCAACGAGCTCCTCGTCGGATTGGCAGTGGTCGTTGTGGATGTTGCTGATCCTGATCCTGATCCGGAACCAGATCCCGATCCCGATCCCGTAGCCGTTGTGGTTGTGGTACTGATAATGTGACTATCATCCTTGCCCACTTGCACCTCAAAGTCCAGCAACTGGGCTGTGGTGGAGGAGAGGAAATTGCTGGTTGACACAGAACCGGAAGTTGAAGAGGAGTTGACCACCTCAAGGGGTTCAATTGATGATACTCCACGGGTGGTACAATATTATTATTATTATTATTATTATTCTGAGGATTCTTTTGCAGCAAAGTTGGATCGATGCACTCTTGCTGGTGTGATTGGTGCGATGATTGGGAAAGAGAATGTTGGCAAAAGATGGCATCGTCACGGATTCAATAATCACCGAATTTGATGGTCTCACTGCCTTAGCCTCCACATTGTTTTGTTGTTGTTGTTACTGGTGATGTTATTATTGTTATATTAGTAGTATTATTATTATTGGTAGTTGTAGTAGCCGTTGCAGTGGTAGTTGCTGCCGCTGACGCAGTGCCCATTAGGGTCATATTATTACTGTTGCTATGTGGATTTGGACTGGCCACAAAGAAGCGTTCGCAGAGTCCGCTCAAGGATATGCCGCCATCCATTGACTGGCATCGATTGCCTGCAATGTGCTAAAGTTATCTGCTGCAGATGCTGCTGGTGCTGCTGCTGCCGTTGGTGTCCCAGTTGCATCCTTTTGCTGCATCTGCAGGTGGGAGTAAAATGGTAGCATTGGTGTACTGCCAGCGGCTAGCATTTGATCCTTGTGATGATGGGGCAGCAACAGGGACTGATGTTGCTGCTGCTGCTGTTGCAGGTGGTGATGGTTGCTGGTAGCTTCTGTTGCATAGTTGGTGCCGTTGCTTTCCGCCAGCATTGAAGGTACATTGAAGGTATCCATTTTATTGCTATTTAGGTTGTAACAACTAGTTTCCTAATCTTTTTTTGTACGTTTCGTTGTGATGTGTGTGTGAGTGTGTAAGGTGATGGTGATGGCAGGTAACGATAGTATTCGTAGGTTTTTTTGGAATTGCTTTCCTGTTTTTAAGGACCTGCAAAAAAATTAAAATCAATCATTAGCATTAAACTTTAATATTTAAAAGGGTTAGGAAAGTGGAACAAGGATATTACAAGTACAGGTCAACGAGGCAAGGTCAGGTTGAAGGTCGCCTCACTGCAAATGTGGGCCAAGGACGAGCCTAATGGTATACCAAAGCGGGCCAAGGTCAACTCTTTACAGAGTCAGGGGTAGGAAAAGCTTGAAAAGCTCTCTGGATAACATTTGAAGAGTCGAAATATCGATTTTGAGATTGTTTATTAATTATACTTTTTATTTTTGGTTAAAAACAAATAAGAGTTATCAGTCTATTTTATTGTACATAAAAGTTTATAAATATTTTTTAAACAATTTTTAGTGTTACTTAAAAACATTTTTGTTATTACCTGCTCTATAATATTAACCCTACGACATTTTGGTACATACATACATAACTTTTGATATAAACCCCTCTTTGTAACCAGTTTACCAATGTAAATCCATTAAACATTATTAAAAAAATACTTTTTCTGTTGCAAAAGAAACAACAAAAATTCATTTTTGCTAAACTAAAACTGGAAATGTGCCCCCACTCTTTGCTTATTCCCCCTTTTTGTTGAGACTTTAATTAACTTCATTCGACTCCAAGTTCTTGATATTTTCTTTTTTTGTTGTCGAATCTCACTCATCAACCCCCGTGGGTTTCACTGTTAAAATGGTTTAAATATTCTAGTTTATATAATTAATTTCATAAAAAATATAGATGCAAAATTTTATTTATTTAAATAAGGTAAATTTGTTATGATTTACTAAGCTTGATATTTTAAATAAAATATTACATATGTACCGAATATTTTTATTAAACGTTATTTTCAAATAAATCAATTTCAAAATAAACATTTCCGGCAATTATAAACAAAAATAAAAAGGAAGTTATAAAAAACAACCAAAAAAGCTTTCCTTTCTTAAATTCCTAATAACTAATTTTTAAATATAGAAATTATCTCTCTCTTCCCTATTCCTTTCAGTGCATGCTATTTTCCATGTAAATGGGAAACTATTGGATAAAATATGTATATGCAAAGGGGATTTGGGGGAATAAGGAAAATGGAATAAAAAAAAGAGGAAGCGGAACGGTAAGGGGAGCTGATAAGTTGGGAGAATCGAAAAGTTTACCTTTCATGCAGCTGACGTTGTTGTATTTCCTTTTTGTAGTTCTTGTTGTTTTGCGCATGCGCCCGGTTTCCATGAATTCCAAGACGAAGATCGCTGGAAAGGAAGAAGGAGAAGAGCTGGAAGCTGCCGCCGCCTCTTTGTTTCCTCTCTGCTCACTCTCGTTGTGTCTCCTTCTCTGTCTCTCGCTGGCTGGCGGTTTTATGTATACAAAAACCAGTTGGAACCGAAAGCAAAAGTTCTATTATTATGTCTTGGGTCTTGTTGTTGGTTTTCCACTCTCGCTCTCTCCCTGTCGTTCGATGGGAATTCGCATATGTGGAGAACGCGAATTTATAATTCGCAAAACAAAGCTAGCGTGTGATTCATTTCGCCGATCGTTGTTGCTCTCTCTCTGCTGCTGGCTCTCGCGTGCTCTCTCTCTCTCTGGCGCTCAGCAACAGTTTCCCCCTCGCACACACACGCGACGCCGAACGCATTTGGCGTTATATATGTACATACATACGTATATGTATGCTGTTTTTTTTTGTATTTCTGCTTATGTTATTCTCGCAATTCTTTCGATTTCCTTATCCCGATTTTTACGCGAAAAAACTTCTTGCACAATCGTCACACGCGCGCAACAAGCGAAAGCTCTCCGCGGGGCAACAACAACTATAAATTGCAATTCCTACTACACACACACATGGGCGCGCACCACGTATATACACATACATACATACGGCTGTGTGTGCTTCGTTCTACTTGGGATTTCTTGTTGTTGTTTTTTGTTGAAATTTTGCTCTTTTGCTAATTTTCGTGTTGCTTTTCTGCCATTGCTCCAATTCTATGACACAACGCTTCCCACTTTTTATGTGTTAATTTCAACGAAATAGTGCACATTGGAATTAGCGAACGACTGGTGGCGGGGCGGAGTTGGGGGGGGAGCAGAACGGAAAACAGACTCCCGTTATGGACGCATTGAAAATATTAAATACACAGAAACACACACACACGCACACGTACACACCGGATAGCAGTTTCGGCGAGTTCTTTTTGCGCTTGTTTACTTTCTTTCGCTTCGCACTTTCGCTTTCCTCGCTATTTGTTTATTTCCTGTGGGTTTCTTTTTTTTCGGGAAAAACTATTCCGCGCACAACCAACGCACGCAAAAAATTAGGTCTGTAGGCCAACGCAAACGGGAACACAGTAAAAAGTTGTTGGCGTAGGTAGAAGAAGACGGAAAGCCCTCGCCTCACACACATGCACACATACAGAGGCGTGTTTGGATCTCCGGGGAGCGGGGCCAAGGACAGAGGCAGCATTCTTGGCCTTTAACGTTTGAAGAACAAGGACGGCAATCATATGAAAACAGGGAAGCTTTCAGCTGAAAGCACTCGCACACAGGCACGCACTGAGAGCTTTTCATGGGCACACAGCTGGCGACACCTGCCGCAAAGCTGGAAATGTTCATGGCGCCATCTGTGGTTGCTTGCTGGGATAGATCGTTGCGCGAAATTTGAAATTCTGAATTTAATTCTGGGTTTTTAAGGAAGTTATTTCAATAAACAAATAATGACTCAAAAATATTATTAGTAATGTACTAGAAATTTCCATATTTAATAAACATAGGACACATTTTTAAATTGCCAAAATTTCACATTGCATTTATTTTTAGTTTCTCATCGTTTTTAGTTTTTTGTTTAATTTCAGTTGTTTTTTGCGTTTTGTTTTTTTTTTGTGTTTTCCTTTTTATAGTTGCACAAAACTTACTTACATACACGTATAATTACATAGAAAATTACAAACCTATCTGAAAATTGATTTACATAATATAGTTGGATCATATTGTGTGTATACATATATATTTAATATATATTTTTTTAAATATATTATTATTTGTAATAATTTCATTTAAAAATACATAATACATAAATACGCCTTTGTTGCTTGCTGCTTTATTTTATATTATTACGATAATAATTATTATTTAGTTTATACTTTTTGCTATTTGTTTTGCTTTGTTTTTTTAAAACCATAGATTACACTTTATCCCTAGATATATATCTAAATGTATGTATATATATATATCGATTTATTTAGCTGCTTGGCTGGCATACATTCTCTGTTCCGTTTCCGCTACCGTTTGTTCTACATTTTAATTGCATTTAATTGTTGCAGCCAATCACTCGAAAGGATTCCAGATTTTCTCAATATTCTCTCTCATTTTCTTTAAAATTTCCCCATTCATTTCCGTTTCCGTTTCTTCGTTTTTCTTCGTTTTGAGTGTGTATAGCACCTTTGTATCACTTTGCTCACTTAGCTCTAAATTGATTTTTTCCTTTTTAAAAAACGACTTTATCTTCCAAAGACAAAGACGGTAGGGATGGGTTGAGGGTTACGGGGAGAGTATAAACTAGTTACTAGCTAAAATATACATATATGCATGTATAGTAATATATAAATCTATAATTATATTCGTACTAATAGTTTTCTCCATCATTCTTTTGCACTTTACAAATCTATTTCATTATCTGTTCATCATTTGTCTAAGGTTTCCTTCTTCCATATCTTGGTTAAAATTTCATTAAAATGGATTTGACGCCCAACAAGTTCCGCACACTATCGTTGTATTTGATTAGCACAACCTTCGAGGAGCTGAACATGTTCAGCTTTTCGCCAGCACAAAGTAGCTGCAGGCAGGTGGCCTTCTCCAGAAATCATCGATTTTGAATCCCGAAGTAGATGCTTTTGACTGCTAACTGCCAGTGCATTGTTGTTGTTGTTTGGACAGAGCTAGGGGAAGATATAGAAAGGGAATCAAATTATTAAAATATTCAAAATATACATAATATTCATGAAACACAAGGATAGTTAAAGAAATCTCTCTCAGAGTTGCTGTTCTGCTTACTTTAAAGCACTATTTTAGTTGATTTAAATCTTACAAAGCTTTGTGGAGATTTATTTAAATTATATATTTATAACCTTAAGTATTACCTTGTTGAGCAACGTATCCTTGGATTTAACTTTAAGTAAATTGCACAAATCGTTGAGTAATACCCATTTATCACTGCCCTCGTCTTTGAGCAAGTACAGTGGTGGCAATGGCACATCGGCCTCTTCAAATTCAAAAATATCACCATTCAATTCATTATCCATTGTCTCGTTGTCCGTCATCTGATCGTCGTCTAGCCTACTTTTACTCCTATTCCTATTCGCTTCCGTTTCCGCTACCATTTCAGCATCCACCAGCAACTCCTTTTTCACTTCATTCTTGACATTCACAACGCTTGTTACTAAATTATTTTCAATATTTCCAGCATTCAGCTCATCGTTGTTCTTATTATTATTGCTATCTTCTTCGATTCCTGGCTCCAATTTAACCAGCATTGTCGTTGTTGATCTCCCCGTGGTCTCGCCATTTTGCTTGATCGTTAAACCATTTGGCTCCTGGTCGTGCTCTTCCTTTTTGGTTGGTAATAAGCCATTATTATTACTATTGCCATTGGCATTTGGCAAATTACTATGACTGGTGCTCATCATCCTAGGCGCCTGCTCCTGCTTCACGGCCTTATCCTTCCTTTCTCTACGTAGAGCTCTGCTCATATCACAAGCTGTGTTCGGTACATTATCGAATATATCATAACCATACTCCTTAGCATCTGCAAGAGATATGTAGAATAAGTTATAACAAGTTTTATGGCAATTTATTACTATTTCCAGTCTCACCAAAGATCTCCCAAGGGCCATGGAATCGCATTGGCTTGATGTCAGCAGCGGCACTTTGTGCATCGCTGAGATGAGCACGCAGTATGCCTCGCATTAACTTGCTTGAAGCTAACATTAGCGGGGTTTGACCTGGAATTGTGAATTAAAATTAACAAATTAGTACAAAAATCTTCATTAAAAATGTATTAAAAACCCACCTGAGTACGTTGCCAGCAACGGATCGGCACCATAGGACAGCAATAGACGCACCACCTCCTCATGATCATTCTCGATGGCACCATGCAGGGGCCTAATCCCGGATTGGGCAGCCTCCGAATGATTGGCACCAAATTGGAGCAGTATCCGGGCAATCTCCAGCCAGCCCTGAGTGCAAGCCTCATGGAGTGGGTATAACCAGCGTTATCCTTTTGATCTGGATTCATATTCATGCGATCCAAGCAATAGACACCACATCGATTAATCCCTGGCGAGCGGCTTGTGCATGGTACTCTGACCCACACCCTTGTTGAGCACCCATTTCTGAATTTCCCGGCACACATCCATCTCCGTTTTGATCTTCAGAGGCAAATGGAACTACTGCCGGCAATGGTGCTATCCGTATCATCCAGCCTCTCATCCGCTGCACTCTGATTGTTCTCGAGGAGATGTTGAGTTAATTGACTGCTGGAGGATTGACTTTGAGCTTGACTGTGGTTCTGCTGGCTTTGATTATTGTTTTGCTGCGTTGGTCGCTTCTTTTTTCGTATGTAATCAAAGCCGGAGCTGCCCTTCCTTCGCATATATTTCCTCTTGTGCGGACACTGCGGTGCTGTGACGATGAATGATCCTCCATGAGGGATCTCCTGGCCAGCTTGTTGTCATTGGCACTCACAATGCTGTTCATTTGCTGTAGAAATTCTTCATATTTCTGATAGCTAATGGCATCATCGTCACCATCTCCAGCTGCCTCGTTCTGGGCACATTCCGGTGGCGCTGAAGCCGGACGCTCGGGACCCACAAAAATCTCACGAATAATCTCTCGGCGCTGCTGCAACTTGGATTCCGTACGGGTTTTACTCTGCAAGACCTTTGTGTCGAAGATACTAAATGCCTGCGACTGGGATCATCCAAGGATTGGCTATCCCCGGCTCCAGATTCCTGCTGCTGTTGCTGTTGCTGCTGCGGATGCTCATAGAGCGATGTTGAGGCGGAGGTTTGTGAGGTTTCACTATGGATTTGAAGATTCGTGGAAGCTGGTGCCGAGACGGAGGTCTTACGAGGAGTACTACTTCCATTGGTTACCCTCAAATGGAGTACATCAATGATGGACTTGGGCTGATTGGAGGATTCCATTTGCTTGCTGGCTGCCTTTGTTTTGGGTTTATTCCTCTTGAAACATGCCAATTCCTGGCCGAGATCACGTCGCTCTAGATCTGGCAGCGAGGCAGCCACTTTGTTGAGTTTATTTATGGAGATCAGGCGATGGGGTATCTTCAGGGCCAACTTGTAGCGATATTCCTCCAGGTACAATTGCTGTTGGGGCGAGGTTTTGGCCGGCTTACCAGGATTACCCTTGTTGTTGCCCTTTAGTTTGGCATTCGACCGTTTAATCCCAGGTGCTCGGAGTTCAAGCCACGTTTGTTTCTCAAACGAGTGACCATCATTAGATCCTTTTTGCTGTCCACCACTTTACGGACATATTTCCTTTTGATTTTTGTGGTGGAATTACGAATGATTTTGTCATTGCGAAGGACTTTGCTGTTGGCCAACTGGAGTTCAAGTTCCTTGCGATGTTTGGAGCGTGTCATTGTGTTGAGTTTGTGGGCAATGCGCTTATTGACCAGGGTATGACCAGGACGACGTCCACACGGGGTTTCTCCTTCTTCTTGTCCGTGTCCTTGTTCTGCTCCTTTTCGTCTTCTTCGGACTCCTCCTCTTCCTCCTCCTCCTCCTCCTCCTCTTCGTCTTCCTCGTCCTCTTCCTCATCTTCTTCGTGACTGTCTGAGGAACTGCTTTCATGGTTCTCCTCGACTTTGACCTTTGGTTGTCCTGAGGTTATCTCTGTCTGCTTTTTGTTGGTCTTGGTCACTGAAGTGTTATTGTTGACCTTGTTATTGGGTGTCTTGGCCTCCTTTTTAGCTTCCTTCTTGGTGGAGGAGCTAACTGCTTTGGTTTTGTTCTCCTCGCCGGAGGTCTGACTGCGACTAGGACGTAGATTAACCTTCTTCTTTTGCTGCTGCTGCTGCTTCTGCTTATCCTTTTCGTCCTCATCATCGCTACTGGCTGCTTCTGCTTCGGGTGATCTCTGCCGAGTTCTTCCCTTCCTTAGCATAGGTTTCTTCTGCCTGGCTGTGTTCCTCTTATGCAGCTCTGTGGTATCACTTTCCGAGGAGCTGCTTTGTCCCTGTTTGGGTGCCAATCGTGCCGCTATTCTTTGTTCCTGCTGCAATCGCTTCTTCTCTCGCTCCACTTTGCTGAGCTTCTTCTGGGCACTGCCGTTGCCCAAGGATGAGGAGACACCGTTTGTGGTGGTGGTCAGTTGGGTTGTGGCTGACATCTCGGCATCCGCAATGGGTGGAATGGGTTCCGGTTGACGTTTGAGTATGCGTGCCACTGGCAGATCATCTTCACTAATCTCCAACTTGATACTGGTTGGAGGCACTGTCACCACCACTTTGGTGAGCAGCTGCTCTACGAGATTATTGCAGGTACTGCCCCAGTCTAGTAGGTTACCCAAACTGGCACCGGCTTCATCTTCCAGGCCCAAGTCAGCAGCTTTTGGTATTGGCGTTGGCGCTGGCTCTAATTTGATTTGAATATTATTGGTTATCTGATGGTTAGGTGGTGTCCTGGGCGGTGAAGCTGTCCTAGTGGTCGTTGTGGAAGTTACAAGGACAGGCGGAGGTGTAAATGTGAAACCTTTGAGCTCAGCCTTGGTCCTTATTCTGGGTTCCATTTTGGGCATTGGATTAATGGTTATGGAGGAAGTTGATTCGGGTTGCTTTTCCCTTTCGCGCCTGGCGGCCAGCGCCTGTTCGTTGACAGCAATCACAGGTACTGGAGCCACCACAACCACCGAAGTGGGTGCAGAGGCAGCAGCTGGAGGAGCAGGAATGAGTGATGCATTTCCCAGAGATTCTGCCTCCAGTCTGGCCTGCTTGGCTGCCGCTTGATTGTACTCCTGGAGATGCCTCTTCCTGCCCAAATAGTTGGGATTGCTGCTATTGTGGGGACTGGGTGAGGGTGTGGGTGGTATTAGTTCCGCTGGTGGCTTCTTCACTTGAACGATACTAGTCTCTGGTGGCTGTCGCTTGGCATATGGATTCGTTTCCAAAACACTGGGACGCATTTGTTGCAGTGTTTTGATCACCAAAGCTGGTGCAGCCACTGGCACGGGCGGAGGATGAGGAACTGATGAGACCGTGGGTGGAAGAGAAGGAGCTGGCGCTTGTCGTATCACGGCGGTGGATGCTCCTCCTGTCCTGGTTGCTGCCGAGAAATTTGGTGTTATATCGAATCTGGGCAATCCCAGGCCACCACCGAGTGGCACCTTGTGATCCGTTGTGCTTGGCCTCTGGTGATACGTGTACTCGGTGGAATCCGCGTCTGCTTCACCGTTCGCATGGATAAATCCAGCGGCGAATGAAGAGCTGACGGTGGTGGTGGTGGAGGTGCTGAGGTAACTGGTTGGGAAGGAGGTGCCTGTTGTGGCTGGATGACTCTACTCGATGGCCTGATTGATGATTCCTTGGCGGCGCCTCCATATTGAGAGTCTTCTTAATGATTTGCAAATTCAATTCCTGTTCACTGGCCGTACTTCGCTTAAGCATATCATTGATCAGTGCTCGATAGTTGGGTTTGGCTGCAGCTGGTGCTTTCTTGGCAGGATTATTGGCAGGATGACTCTGGCTTTGGGATTGACTACCAGGCTGATGATAGCATATATCCGGTCCATGGGGATACACTTGCAAAGTGGAGTAATTTGCACTACTGGAGGCTGATGAGGATGAGGATGGTGCAGGCTGTTGATGACTGTTGCTCCCTGGACCTAAGATCGTTCCAGGAACTCCTGCCGGTGGTGGCGCTGGTGTGGGTGAGGCCACCGCTCCAGCTGCTGGCGACGGTGTTCCCTGGTGATAGTAACTTGTATAAGGCGTTGAACTGCTACTCGTTCCCACTCCAGCTCCATGCTGCTGTTGCTGTATGAGTTCCCGTACTTGGTGGGGTAACCATGGGGCGCAGGTGCGGGTACTGTGGCCAGCATTGCCGGCGATGTATCCCTTTCACGGCTCTCCACATTGTAGGGATTGTGATATAGCGAGGATCTTGTAGGCTGCGGCAAACTACCGCCTGCGAGGGATGCATGTTCTGGTTCAGTTTAACATAACTAGAGGTTGCAGCTGGTGTCGCTTTGGAACTCTTCACCGGCTGCTGGCTGTAGTAGGATCCAGCAGCACGTCCATAAGTGGTTGCTCCCCCTCGGGGATACTCCAAACTGGGTCCCGGGGCCTCTCTCACATACTTCTCGATGGCATTGTGCACGGTATTTTGGAATTTTTCCGTACTAAATGTCGGCATCGGCATATAAAGACTCTGATGGTGATGCGTTGCGGATGTGGGTGTGGTTCCGGATGTGGGCGGCGTTCCCGTTGATGTGGGCGTGGCTCCGGCACTCCTTTGCTCGGCGGTGTCTCATAGTGTGGTGGACATTTCCTCGCATAATTGGGACTCGGTTGCTGGTGCTCATTGCTGGGATTACTAGGATTCACAACATGCTCCAGTTCATAGTGACGGACGGATGAGGAATTGGAACTGGTTGGCGCTGAGCTGGCGGTGGGTATCGATGACGAGGATGAGGAGGAGCTAGCGGCGGGCGGTGCATAGGTAAGCACCTTGGTTGCTGCAGGTACAGTGGAGTACTTGATGTCCTCACTATAATATCGCTGGTTAGTTGGTCCCGGCAAAGGTCCTGGCATTGCTCTGGAACCAGCTCCTCCTCCTCCTCCTCCTCCTGGCGGTGGCTTGCCGTAAGAGTATCTAGCCGGCTGCTGGTGATGATGCAGCTGCTCATCGGCTGGCGGCCAATAGGCTGAGCTACCCGTTGTATAAATGGCAGGATTCCCATGATGACGCAGACCAGGCGCCGGCGCAGGAGCTGGCACAGCCTGACTCTTGTAACTCCAACTGGGATGCGGATCGGGCATCTTTTTCACTGCTAAATTTTGGTTTGAGGTGTAGTACTGCAGGTGGGGATCACTGCCACAGGCGCCGTAGATCCTGGTCCCTGCAGGCCTCCAGGTTGACCCGGTTGAGTGCTCCTGTTCATGTACATCGTTGTCCTGGATCGCTGATCCTCAGGATGATGATGATTGCCATAGGAGGAGGAGGAGGACGAGGAGGAACTCCCCACTGTTGTGGAGCTGGTGGGATGGTGGTGCAGCTGCTGCTGCTGCTGCTGCTGGTAGTGATGTGGATGCTGCTGGTGGATTGGCTGCTGCTGTGGGGTGGCGGTGGTGGCGGGTGGTGCTGGTGGATCGGCTGCTGGTGGTGCGTGCTTGCGAGTGATGCGGATGCGTTGGATGATGCTGCTGCATCGACGGATGATGCGGCTGATGATGCGTCTGATATTCGTGATGTCTATTGGGTTCCATGGTGGTTGGTCTGGAAATGGAACGGAAATGAAAACGTTTTCGATTAATTAAGGTCAATTTTATTCAACTTTTCATTATCACTTGTATGGAGAATTATTTAACAATAAAATAGCATTAAGATCGTATTAAATGATTAATATAGAATTTAAAAAGCTTAAAACTGAATATTAAAAAGTAATTTACACAAAATTTAACGTTCCAAAGCAATCAACATCACCTAATTAATAATAATATTCCCTAAAATAAAACAACAAATTGATATTCCCATTATATAATTTCCTTATAATTATCTCTAGCTTAAACTCAATTTTCAACTTATTAAAACTATAAATCAAAACTATATAGAATAGAAATAAAAACCATAAAATTTAGATCTAATTAAGCTGGAAAAATTGAATCAAATTAAATAATTAAATAACATAAAAGATTTACATTTAAAATGTAATTACAAATACCATTCCAGTTAATTATAAACTTAAGAACTTCTGAACCCATTAAATGCTTAATTTTAACGAGTTAATGAATCAAAAATAATTAAACTAATTGAAATGATTTTTACTGCAGAAATTCAGTTCAATCACAGCAATTAGATTGTGCCACAAGTCACGACTTCCTATGTGGAATGTATCTCAAAGATAGTCCCAATTTAACAAATCAAACCATGAAACTGTTAAAGCCATAAAAACAGACTAACCCTTTTTATGAGAGCAATAAAATAAAAATTATAAATAAACTAGGAAATAAGCCGAAGCCAAAGTTTAAGCCTTTTTTTCGGAATATTTATTGTGGCTATTAAAAGTTAAAGTCATGCAAATATGAACAAATTCCAATGAGCGATGATGAAATTGCTAAAAACAAATAAACTTAAAAATTTGCTCTTCGCCTTTTACAATATATATATAATATATATTCATGCTCGTAGAAGAAAGAAGACAGAGAGAGATAACAAGAGGCAGACCGGAGTGGGCGAGAGGGAAATGCAAACAGTTCAACGACTTTCTAAAGAACGTGCACAAAAATAAACTGACTTTCCAATGAACCGAGCACAGCACAAAAATGCCCCCAAAAAAACTGATTCATTTATGGCCAAAATGAGAGAGAAATTGGACACGAAAATATGGCTATAACCTTAAAATTATATACTCTTGGAGTTTGGCTAAGAATAGATGAAGAATTTGATTTAAATCAAAGTATTTGTATTAAATTAAGGTAAAATATACGACACACGAGAAAAAGATTAAATAAAGTAATTAAATTAAATGGAAAAAGGTTTTCTTATAGTATTTTCAGTTTATTTGTTAATTAAAAATAATTATATTCATCTTTTCATTCAAAACCAATTAAAGGTCATTGAAATATATTCGCACAAAAATAAATATGCTTTTTATATAGCAGATAATAATTAATTTCAATTTATCAAGAATTTTGTACTAATTACTTTAATTATTTAATCACCCAACTTCACTAACTTTTAATAAATCAATAACTGACTTATATTTCAACCAGAAATCCTCTTTATAAAGTATAACTATATAAACTCTAATAATTATCAGTTTTAAAACTTTTCCCTCAAAGAATTGTACATAAAACCTGTCTGTTTATAATTTAAAACTTTAATATTGCTTGAAGCTTAAAAAGAAACAGAAATAAATACAGATAAGACCATCTCAAGTTCTCTGGACTCGTTTCGGTGTCGGAATTTTCGAATATAAACCATATGCTATAAGAGATAAGACCCCAACAGCCATGGATTTGCCTTTGCCAGAGTTCATTCGCGTGTTCGCATTTTTTGTTTTTCAAAAGTACAAAAAGTTCAGAGAGAAGTGCGAACAGCAGTGCACTTAATACTATTTAAACTGTTCCTAATCGTTCTTATCAAAATCTCTGGGGGATTATAATCAAACGGAATGACAGACCCCAAGTGAACACTTTACTCACGTGTCTGGCGATTAAATGGCAAGCAAAATAGAATAAAAAATAGTAAAATAATGGACAAAATCAAATACATTTATCACAGAAATATTATGCCAGAGATAAAAACATTAGAGGGAATAAGGCCACGGGCAATCATATCTATTATAAACAAAAACAAATACTAAAAATAAAGGAAAACAAATAAATTGTAGTGGGAGAAACACAAAATAAGAAATCTTTTTTTCGATTTGCTGACGAACAGAGCTCCGTCAAAAAGTTATTCAACAAAATTCACTTCTATTGTTGTTTTTGGTGGATGCTCACAATGTTGTGGGCGTGTTCGACATTGTTAATTGTCATTTTCTATATATATATATATATGTATGTATTCGAATACGTAAATATTTCTGTATCTGTTCAAGCATTGGCAGACCTGTTAATTTGTTTAAAGCAGAGCATAAACTGAAACTATAAATAAACTAATGGCAGATTTTAAACGATTCAACAAATGGTGTAGAAAAGTAAAGTTTGTAATAGTTGTTTAATTTTGTATTAATTAATATTTTAGGTTATGAGAAATATTTGTTGGACAGGTGAATGTCAGGTGAACTTAAAATAAAAGAGTTATGTGAATAGAAGATTAAAAGGGTAAATGCTTTTATAATATTTTAAAATGTGTTTCTTGTTTATTGATGTGTAATTAAAGGATATATGTAATTACATATTAATAATATAAATAAATAATAAAAAAAGAAATAAAGCTTGTTATTTATATTTTTAAAATTAATATTTTACATATTTATTGTACATTATTTGTGTGTTTAGTTTTGTATTTTTGTGAAATTCCATCCGGAACTCCTTCAGAATATTATATTAACCATATATAGAATATTTTTCTCAAATAAACTATTCCCTTTTACCATTATTTCGCTTCATTTATTTGTAGCATTATTTAAACCAATTAATAATAAATCTCAACAACAAAAAAAAAGGTTTAAAAAGATTCCTTTCGATTTCTGCAAGTGAATGAACTTTGTATCTCATTAAGGCCTTCACAATCTATCCTAATCAACCATAAAAAGCTTTCCCCTTCGTGTTAAAACAAATATCTTATAATATAATTGTGTGTGTGTGTTTTCTTATCTTTTATTTTCTGTTGTTTTAAATTTTTATTTTCTTTTTTTTACAGTATTTGCAATTCAAAATTTTAATTTTTACAGCTGCCAATGGTTTGTATTCGAAAAAAAATCGTAAAAGAAAAAAACGACGATGGAAAAAATTCCCAGAGTTTGGCCTTGGCTTAAAACAAAAAAAAAAAATGGCAACAACCAATCATAAAAAACAACAATAACAATTTAAATTCAGTGAAAAATAGAGAGAGAGAGAAAAGGAGAAAGAGAGAGAGAGGTGGACAAGTGCAAATAGCAAACATTGCCGCTTGTTTTGTTTTTAGCGTTTATTTAGCATTTGTTGAGCCTGCTAAAGCAGCTATTGTTGTTGTTGTTGTAGTCTTAGGTGTTGGTGTTGTTGTAGTTTTAGGTGTTGGTGATTTGACTGTTGTTGTAGTTGCTGTGGTGTGTTGTGGTGTGAGTGCACGCCGCTTGCTTTGTTTTATAATTTCACATTTCACAAAAGTTCGTTGTGCTCTTACGACGCTCACATTTCGCTTTTGTTTTTGTTGCTTTCTTTCTTTAATTCATTCCGCTTAACTGTGTGAGTGTGTGGTTTTTATTTATATCATTTGCAATAACAAAATAAAAATGCGTCACAAATTTATTTGCACTTTTGCTGTCGGTTATTCGTATCAGAGACTCTCGCGAGCGCTAAGCATTATAGCATTTATAGCCTTGACCCCTACACAATCTACACACAATGTGTATAAAAAATGTTCTCTCTTTATTTTTTTCCTTGTATTTTATATGTTTTTTTTTTTTTGGTTGGGTTGCATTGCCAGAAACTTAATTGAAACATTTTTGTGCAGAGGGGCAAAGTTTTGTGTGAGAATAATGTGAATACATATATTATTCTAGAAGTAAAACACTTTTGCCAAGGGAAATTTATGGACATTTTCATTCAAAAGTATTAGTAACAAGCATATTGTTAAGTTATCTGGCATAATATCTTCATAGTTAATAATTAATATATCTTTTGAATGTTAATAATGCTTTAAGGTCATAATCAATTGTTAAATATTCTATACTTTTATGTCAGTCATATATGTACTTTTTATTTCCTATATAAATAAATGTATACCAGATCGTATTTACATTATAAAAGACTTGTTCTTCTTAAGGTTAATATTTTTCCTATGAACTCTGCACTTAGATCAGTTTTGCTGCTCAAAAACGTGTGAATAAGAAATATATTGTTTTTGCATTTATTTAAACATTTTTATACCATTTTAGGGTATTTCAGTTGCTTTTACACTGCGAAGAAGTCATTTCCGACCCTATAAACCATATATATTCTTGATCAGCATGAACAGCCGAATCAATCTAGCTATATTCGACAAAAATTAATTTTTTTCAAAATTTTGAAAATTTTATAATCGTTAAAATGGTAAAAAAAAAATGGCAAAAAATTTATTATTTTTACATTTAAGACTGGGTTGCAGATTTATTAACCTACTAAAAATAAGCATACGGCTGCTTTCCGAATTTAAATTAATGCTTTTTTGGCTTAGTTATACGTTTTTAAATTTTGATTTGTTGCAAAAAGTTGTCATATAAAAATATTCAAATAATGCGTATATTTTAAGCTTAGTTATAATCGATTTTTAATTCAATCTTTAATTCAATTTCAAACTGCCAGGGATTTATAAACTTTGGCTTCCCGTTAGTTAGTTAGTTTTCTATCTTGTTTTATATAAACTTATTAAAGCTTAATAACAGTTATATAATATTTAGATTTATAGTTGTAAAATATCTCCTATTTACCATGCTAATAATTAAAGGAATCAAAGAAATACAATAAATTACTTAACAAATATTCAAATAAATATTTATATTTATTTTTATATCAAGTTAGGAATTCGGTGCAATTATTAAATATAATTTATAGCTACCCAAGTCTCATTATAAATAATTCTCAGCTTCT